ACTTTTGAGCAATTTAATGCATCCTTGATGAATAAAAATATTAATTTCTTTCAAAAAAAGAAAAATCTGACCCCAATCTTGTTAGTGTTTTCACATATGTATATGTATATACTCTATATATAGTCAGCAGACGCTGTGTCCCATGTTTGTTCACTCACTGATGTATTTGAGCTGTTCCGGTTGAAGAATTAGCTGGAGATAATTGCACCAATAATTATGGGTGGGATTCAGACTGGCACAACTACAAAGTGTTCAATTCTGCAAAGACGTCTTGTATTAGCTAATACATCTTCAGTTGTTAACTTTTGGCTGATTACAGGACATCATGTGGAGATGCTGTAACACAGGTCTTTATTGATCTGGTTCATTGTGTTGGTCTCAGTAATGCTTTATTCAGCAGATAAAGTGTTCTTCAAACGCAGTCCGATACAGGAACACTCCGCTTTCTGATCAACTCGTGCGCCGCGTCCCAACACTCCCTGATCAATGCTGATGTGGCCTCTGCAGAGGACGAGTAGAGATTATGAATGAGAAATACTCATGGAAGCTTGTTTCCACAGCAGAATAGAAATATATATATATATAAAAAATAGCAATTTTTTTCTCACATTCAGATTTTTCCCTCCAGAATTCTGAGTTTACATGTAAACGCAAAACAATGAAAAAAGTCAGAATTGCGAGATGAAAACGCAAAACTCTACAAAAAAAGTCAGAATTCCGAGATGTAAACGCAAAACTCTACAAAAAAAAGTAAGAATTCCGAGATGTAAACGCAAAATTCTAACAAAAAAGTCAGAATTGCGAGATGAAAACGCAAAACTCTACAAAAAAAAAAGTCAGAATTCCGAGATGTAAACGCAAAATTCTAACAAAAATGTCAGAATTGCGATATGAAAACGCAAAACTCTACAAAAAAAAGTCAGAATTCCGAGATGTAAACGCAAAATTCTAACAAAAAAGTCAGAATTCCGAGATGTAAACGCAAAATTCTAACAAAAATGTCAGAATTGCGAGATGAAAACGCAAAATTCTATAAAAAAAAGTCAAAATTGTGAGATGTAAACGCAAAATTCTAACAAAAATGTCAGTGTTGCGAGATGTAAATGTGAAACTATGAAAAAAGTCAGAATTGCGAGATGAAAAGCAAAACTCTATAAAAAAAATCTAAATTGCGAGATGAAAACGCAAAACTCTACAAAATAAAAAGTCAGAATTCCGAGATGTAAACGCAAAATTCTAACAAAAATGTCAGAATTGCGAGATGTAAAGCAAAACTCTATAAAAAAAAAAGTCAAAATTGTGAGATGTAAACGCAAAATTATGAAAAATGTCAGAATTGCGATATGAAAACGCAAAACTCTACGAAAAAATTCTAAATTGTGAGATGTAAACGCAAAATTCTAACAAAAATATCAGAATTACGAGATGTAAACGTAGAACTCTGAGAAAAAAGTCTGAATTGCGTGATATGAAACTTGCAATTGAGAGAATTATGAGTTAAGAAATCAGTTACCTTTTTTATATTTTTATTCCATGGCGAAAATAATCTTCCATAAATACTAATGCTAACGGTTGCTTTACTAGATAGCAGTAGGATATTAGAACTAATTACTCTGTTGAAAGCAATATTATTTTACTCATTACTTATGAATTAAGACCTTGATTAGCCTTTACCAAATGCACACAGACACACAATAACCTGTCCTTCAGTTCCTTATTAAAATCACTTCTCTGTGCAACGCAGAAAACGGCACATGCATATTTCATCAGATTGCGTTTACTACAAATTTCAATGCTTTACTAGATAGCAGTAGGATATTAGAACTAATTACTCTGTTGAAAGCAATATTATTTTACTCATTACTTATGAATTAAGACCTTGATTAGCCTTTACCAAATGCACACAGACACACAATAACCTGTCCTTCAGTTCCTTATTAAAAATCACTTCTCTGTGCAACGCAGAAAACGGCACATGCATATTTCATCAGATTGCGTTTACTACAAATTTCAGTCATTTTCTGAATTACATAATTCAGAAAATGCTAAACATTTATCTGGTTTTAAGAAAATAACGTTTTAAAGCACAGATGCAAAAATTGCACGAGGATTTGAGGAGAGAAATGCATTTCTTCAGAATTTCTTCTTTTCCTGATAAAACTCGTCCTCCAGCACTATTAGGTGAAAAAGCGTCAGACGGGCTGCTTGACTCGTGCTTGATTAACTCTGTGCTAATTAGCGCTGGTGGAGAGCTGAGAAGGGCTGTAATTTATGTGGTGGCAAAGGCCCGGATCGCGTCCCGGCGCTACAGAGGAATGAGGTGAAATGTAAATGTATTCGCCGCCTGCGATCGCAGCTCCTGCGGTGCGTGAGAGCGAGAGAAAGCGAGAGCGGGTCACTGGAGCCGTGGCGGAGGCCAAGAGGACGATCCCTCGCAGCTGCTGCGCTAAGACCAGCAGAAAACCACACGACCTTGAGACAAGCTGAAGGAAGTGTTCAAGTTCATGCCGCAGAAGAGCAATGAAAATGACCTGAAGAGAGCATTTGTCTTCCAACACACTGCTTCATTTATTTAGAAATAATGCACAACTACATGGAGACAAACTTTTATTTTATTTTATTTTATATCATATTTAAATTTTATTTTATTTTATTTATTTATATTTTATTTTATTTTTGTAATTTTTATTTTATTATTTATTTATTTATTTATTATTATTTATTTTTATTTATTTTATATTTATTTTACATTTTCTTAAAATGTAAATTATTTTATAATTTAATTTGATTCCATTTAATTAATTGAATATATTTTTATTTTATTTTTGTATTTTTTCTGATAGTTTCTTAAATCAAACTTAACATTTATTTAAATAAATAAAAAAATAAAAAAAAAATATTTTGGTAATTTTTATTTTATTAATTTATTTATTTTGTATTTTACATTTTCTTAGAATAATTTATTTTATTATTTAAGTTCATTTCATTAAATTTTATTTATTGTATTATATTTTTGTATTTTTACTTATTTTATTTTATTTCAAACAGCCTGCAGATGCATTCGTGTGAGTGTCTGTTTGACATTCTCGTGAGCCAGTCGCACTTGTCGGTGAAGAGGGTGTTGAAAGTAAAGAGAAGATCAAAGGATGTGCGCCTCTCTGAGAGCTTCATCCCTCTGTATCTGATGACAAGACTCTTCTCATCCCCGCTCACTCGCTCCGACCGCCGAAGCTTCTTCATGCTTTCTCTGCACGACGGCTCCTCATCCGCTCACGTTCAAAACAAAGAGTGAAAAATTTAAGGCGGTCTGAATACTTTCCGTACCCACTGTATCTCTCAATTCTGACTTCCTTCCTCAAAATGGTTAGAAAGTCAGAAAAGTCACAGTTACATGACAAGACTCTTCTCATCCCCGCTCACTCGCTCCGACCGCCGAAGCTTCTTCATGCTTTCTCTGCACGACGGCTCCTCATCCGCTCACGTTCAAGATGTAAACTTCAGAGAACTCAGAGGGAAAAAAACTGAGTTTATATCTCTCAATTCTGACTTCCTTCCTCAAAATGGTTAGAAAGTCAGAAAATTCACAGTTACTTTTTTTTTTATCCCATGGCGGAAACAAGCTTCCATAGTTTCCACGTCCTGCTGCAAACTAAAAGTCAATTTTTGTAAACTTTACTTATAGAGTACAAAATAAAAGTCATTGTCTGAGTGTGGTGTGTGGTGATGCTGCTCTGTTATGACTGATGGTTTCTGGGCTCTGCTGTGTGCTTGTGTGTCCTGCGGTGAAGCTGCCGGCTCCGTGTGTGTGTGTGTGAGACAGCATGATGGATGGAGGCCTCCGTTGTGTGTCTCCTGCTCTCAGCACTCCGTACGACAGGGACGGGGCATCTCCGACCTGCTGCTCTCTCTCTCAAACACACACACATGTCTGGTCAGCTATCCTTGTAGGGACTCTCCATAGGCGTAATGGTTTTTCTACTGTACAGACCGTATATTCTATTGCCCTACACCAACCCTAGCAGGGTCACATTTATGAGATCTATTAGTTACTCAAGTAGTGCCTTAAATGTTCAGATTTAAGTGATTTTATTGCGCAATTTAAATTCACACCATATTCTTGTTTTAAATATAAGAAATATTTATATACAGTTTCATGTCTGGTAAGAACCATTTCTGGCCCTTTTGGACGTCGTGTGTCCGTCAGAGGTAAGCGTGTCACATCTGTGTTCTCAGCGGTTTGCGTGTCCGACTCGACCCACAGGTCACGCGTGATGTCTGCTTAAAACACGTCACGTCCTCCGAAAACCTGCTGAAAGTCCAGCGGCTTTCCTCTCCCTTCTGCCCTGGTGCAAACGCAGAGCACAGATCCCATCTATCAGAGTTTATTTCTGCTGCTTTTACTCAGAACTTATTAGAGCTTCAGTCCTCTGCAGCACCGAGGGGTTAAACAATGAAACTTCTCTCATATACGGCTGACAGAACATAAGACGTGGATATGAATAAGAGCCGGTTTTGATTCCCAAATGTGTTTGTGACTGATTTCATCTCTTCCAGGTCTCATCCCAGACTCCGATCATCCATACAGCAAGTTCGAGAACGAGTGAAAGCGAGGGATCGCACAGGAATCACTTCACCACGTGCTTTGCTCTTTTGAGACACGTCGGGTGACTTTAGGTTAGATGGAGCTGGACGGAAGCCGATACTGAGATTACCTTGTCAGTCCTTCCATTGGTTAGAAATCTCTCTCTCTCTAGTTATGAGTAATGTCTGTGTAGTTATGAATCAACACAGACTCTCTCTCTCTCTTCTCTCTGTCTACTCAAACACAACAGCATCACACTGCAAAAAATGATGCTCTTCTTCTGTATTTTTGTCTTGATTTCCAGTACAAATATCTAAACATTCTTAAATCAAGATAGCAAACTGAGACAAGATATGAAGTCTTGTTTTTTGTATCGAAATGAAGTGATTTTAGGCTTAAAACAGGAACATATGTCTTTCAGTGGGTCAGAAAAATCAGCTTAATTCAAAGGGAAAACGAGCTGAGTTTTTTGACCCCCATTAGCAGATATTTTTTTCTAGTTTTAAGGATAAGCTCACTTTATTTTGATCCATTTTCCAGAAAATAATACTTCGTATCTCAAGTAAAAATGCATCTTGATTTAAGATGGTTGAGATATTTGTTCTGGAAATCGACAAAAATACTGGGCAAGAAAATGTGTTTTTTTTTTGCACGTTTTTAATGAAACTGATGGAAAATGCCAAAAATGGCTGTTAGAATGTGATTATTATTTTGTGTTTGTTTTCTTATAGAGAACTTGAGAACTAGTTTATGCAAAAATGTAAATTCTGTGACGATTTATTCACCTTCGTGTCGCTTTTTTCTGCACAACAACAGTTCATGTGCGGGACTTTCAAAATAAGATGAACAATAAATACAACATAACTGTAGACTATATGATGTGCATGCCATATTTATATTAAGTCTTCTTGTATTGAGTCATATGATGCTTTCTTTGGGAAACAGGCCTAAGTTTTATTCACTGATAATCCACGAAGAGCCAAAAACATGGTGCAATAAATGCAAATAAGATTTCAGAACTTCAGTGATGATGATGATTAGTGAACTTAATTTCAGTCTATTTCTCACACAAAGCGTCAAATGACTTCAGAAATATAGCGCATGCATCATATCATACTGTTATGCCTTTGTAGATTAAATATATAGACTACTAAACTATTGTGGGAAAAATCTGCATGAAGATGCAAAAATTCTCCTTTTGCATTCAATGCAAAAAACAACAACATATGGGTTTGAAATGACATGCAGGTGAATAAAATGATGACCGAGTTAAATTTTCAGTGAATTATTGCACTTTCTGATTCAGTTGTGATTGCAAACTCAGCATCTTTTTAATCACTCGGGCTTCTGTTTGTATTTATACTGTGTGTTCTTATTAAAACATGTCCTAATAAAAACAAGCTTCCACTTTTAAAGAAACCACTGTGTGGACTGCAACATGAACGCATGATTTTTTTTTGAAAGTGCATTTAATAACTCAATGCATTTAAACACAGAGCAGAAAATCGTTCCTCTCCAGGCGATTTTGCGGCTTATTTCATGCCACCTGTTCTACGGTTCAGACGTAAGCAGCGTTTGAAACAGACAAGCGCATTAGTTATGTGGCTCATTCTGTGCCATAATTAGAATAACAGTGACATTTGTGCATTAGAATGCAAAGGCAAAAAATCCAGAAATGCAAACATTTGGGCAGATCCGTGTAAATTTGCTGTAGATGCATCCGCTACATGCTAAAGATGCTGAACGGAACAAGACGAGCGCTGCAGTTGCATGCAAGATTTAAGTGAACGTTAAATCAACACTGACCCTATTTACTTTCTTTATACGTGTTCCTGCATAATTCATCAGTGCATGTTATTCCAAGGAATATGATACAGGAGAATCATAAATCTCTCTTATTTTTCATCCGCCTGTCATATAGAGACACTTCACCATCAAATCAATTCCTCATGGATGAAATTCATGCAAATACGTCAGATTATGGAAGTTCACTCTAAAAGATTTTATTTGGCATAAAGAAACTGAAGCCTAGTTTAGGAACATTGAGTTTTTTTTGTTTTTTTTGCATTATCATGACAATTTTTCTGTTTGTAAGTAAAATAGCCAATAAAGGGTTTATTTGTATTTATTTATTATTTCATTTTATATGTATTATTCTATTATTTCCGTGGTGGTACTATGGTACAGTGATGATATCAGATAGTGATACTGTGGTATATCATATGCGTTTTTCTTCTTTTCCTGTATGAATTATGTAATGTACAGAATATTTTAATCCTTAAAAAGAAATTGAAAAACTGTAAAAATGTAAAACAAACTGTAAAAACATGGCAGTACTATGTATTGGATGAAATAAAATGACACACATACACACACACACACATACATTATAATGAATTTTATTTTTATATGTATTTTTTATTTTAGATATAGTCATTCCACCAGGAGGGAACAGTTAATGTAAAAGTCAGTGAAAATGATTGTGTGCCTCTTTGAGATGGCACAATAAATTTAAAAAAAAAAAATTTAATATATACACACACACACACACACATTTTTAGTTATTACAAATATTTAATGAATAGTGAATAAATTTATTTAATGAATAAATAAATGCATTTTATTTAATGGCACCTTTCTAAACACCCAAGGTCACCTTACAGCAAGCAAAATGATAAAACTACAAAAATTAGTAACAAAAGACAAACAGATCCTGCCAGCATTACAAAATTCAACAGCACAACTGCATGCATCATAAATACGGTAGAGGCATAATAAGAGCAAGTCATAAAAATATATAATATTAAATAAATATGAACATTTTATTATTATATATATATATATATATATGTGTGTGTGTGTGTGTGAACAAAATGTATATACACACACACACACATTTTTTAATGAATAATTATATTTACATTACATTTAGTTATTTAGCTGACGCTTTTATCCAAAGCGACTTACAAATGAGGACAATAAAAGCAATATCAACAAGATGGACGTATTATATGTTGAATTTAGTTTTTAAAAAGTAAAAAAAAAAGATGCCGCCAAGTGTGACATTATAATATGACTGCTGCAGTGTCCATAGACTTAGGCTCAAAGTCTAGTGTTACTGCGGCTTTACTACGGATGAGAGAAATTGCAATGAGCAAAATGGTGGCTCTAGGAAGTACCGCCTTCTAATAAAATAGCCAATCTCCAGTTGGTAAAATCATCACATCATTGCAGCTGCTGTTCGCTTCCCCTGGAAACATTTAAGGGGCAGTCCGCCTTGTTGTTCCACTGAATTCCATTCATACATATGCAAATGCTGAAGACTGTAAACACAAGCTCATATGAAGAATGCATTTCACTGCATTCTAAATTTCAAGTTTGGTGAACTCTGACCTGTGAATTTGTATCACTTGAAGACGATAAATCACAGCGTGACCTGAATTAAAGAACGCCAACTTTAAAGCTGCATTGTTAATATACTGTATATATATATATATATATATATATTTTTTTTACATACATAAAATCTTTTCAGTGTAGTGAATCAATTTCGTCTTTTTTCTTCTCCTTTTCCTGTATGAATTATTAATGAAGTCATGTACGGAATATTTGGGTCCTTAAAAAGCCATTTAAAACTGTACAAATGTCCTGAGGACGCCTGGCTTTTATTATAAGGCGAGGCGGTGTTCTACAGATGATGGACAGCTGCGTCAGCCAATGAAAGACGCGACGTCAATTCCACGGCCAATGACTGACCCGCGGGGGCGGGGCTAACTCGCCGTTTCATCCGCTCGTCTCTCGCCAAGCAAGAGGAGAATCCCCAAAAATGACATCCAGTTTTTCCAGAGGAAAACCGCGGCGTTTAGAGACGCTCTCCTGAAGTTTCCCCCCTCACATTACCACGGATTACAGCTCGCTCTTCAGATATGTAGTCATTAGACTTCGGAAATGTGTGTTTAATACAGAAGGACAGTGTTTTTTCTACACGACTCGGCTCTGATTCCAGACTCCCTCAGCTTCTAATCGGACATGTGTGATTTAATGCCAGCGGCTCAACCGGCTGAAAAAATCGGCAAAATGAAGAAATTAAGAAGAACTTTGTCGGAGAGCTTCAGTCGCATCGGTGAGTGTCTAAAAACACGGTTAAAACGCGCGCCGTTATCGTTCACAAGCTCGTCGGTTCTGAGGAAAGTTTGTTTTCACTGTAAACGACGGTTTAATTCATCAAACGACGAATTTAAACAGAAAACGAGACTTAAACTTAAAAGTGTGAATGTGTAGTGCAGATGTGATTGTTCATCAGGCGCCTGAGCTCCTCACAAACCAGCCCGGAATAGAATACAGAATAGAATTGAGTAGAATTCTCCTGCTGACGCATCGGTATCTGATCGTTTGTGAGGTGATCAATGCGCTTTCTGCGGTTTCTCCCGCGCTGTGCTTCATTGTCAGGGTCTGAAGTTTCTGTGAGTTCATATCATTCACATGAATTCATATCTCATATCTCATATCTCATTTGGGATCCCACAGATTTCAGTGCCCTTCATTTCTCTTCGGAATTCTTTAATATGTTTATCAGGGTTCTTCAAAACCTCTTCGTTTGCTATGAGAATGTCAGGTTGAATAGACAATAGATCTTTCAATAGACAACCATTTTTCTGTGGTTTTAAGGCTTTGTGGAAGATGTTAGCAGATGCTGAAGTGCTTTATGCATCTCAAAAACATGCAGGTCACATTTCACCCCAAAATTATTATTATTTATTATTTATTTTTCATAAAGTGAAACATATGATGTACTGTAATTATATTTATATATATTTTAATATGTATTATTTATTATATT